TCTACTTTTCCCCATATCTGCATTTGACTTTTCAAAAATCAACGTATGCTTTTCTTCCCCTTTCACTGGAGCATAACGTTCAGTGATAACTATAGATTCCTATTTTCTAATAACCTATGTAACTGCAAATAATACATTCCAATACACATTTTCAGCTTTCCCATTAAATCTGCAGGTTCACTTCCTTGGGAGTATTCAATTGCACACACGGAGAGAAAATAGTAAAATGTGTTAATTCATGCTTCTACCATATAATTTCTTATATTCCATGTCTTAATCATTCATATGCCATGGTCATCACCAGATGGATAGCTCTGTTCAATTCAAGGCTTTCATATACTATAATTTTAACAAAACAGAGTAGATTACTTGCTATAGTCATACACATGCCAGTGTATAAAGGAAAGACAGCAACAGTCAGTTTTGATAGATTTAGTCTAGATGAGCAACCAAGTTTTATCTCTCAAGTATAGTTACACTTCTATAGACTACCTAGCAAGTCAATATACTGTTGCTCACATCCCATCAACTTGCTGGTAAATGCAATATAGAGAGAAATATAATCAAGATACTTTTAAAATCTCCTTCTAAAGCCTTATTCTCAGGATACTGCAATTCCAAATATCTGTCTCAGGATTTGCAAGAATGAAACCAAGCTTGCTGAACACAGACTTCCCCTTCATAAATTGTATAATTTGGACACCAGAGGAATTAAAAGTTGAACTGTTCAGAGGAGCCAAATACTCAATGTCACCCTCAAAGGCCACTGTGAGCATCACAAAAAATAAAAGTTTTGCTCCTTGGGACAAAAAGTGCTTGGTGAAATGAAAAAAAGGAAAGAAAACCCAACATGGCCACAAGCATTGCCATACTAAAATCAGCTTGCATGAGAGAAAGAAACTTTTTGTTCTAATACTTACGCTTCTCTCTCCCACTGAGGAAAAGAACCAAACCAAACCACAGGACATCCATGGAGATTCTCAGTCATCCAGGTCACAGTTGTCCCAAAGGTGCTTTTTTTTGAAGAGGCAACTGACTTTCTGGTTTTTCTTTGAAGACAATTTCCCTTCTCATCCAAGATGCTTCTTCAGCTCTGACAGGATAATGGGGAATGGGAGGATTTATATTCCTTTATTTTTAGCTAGACAATTTGGGATGAACACCCTTGGAATGGTGTGGGAGTAGGAATGGATTTCCAAAGAAAAAAATTGCAGACTACAGGAACCAGGACCACAACTCAGGTGACCCTGAGGACACAGATAAACTTCCAGGTGGCCTCAACAACTCTCTAAAAGGATGCAAAGGACCAGCTGTCTGCAAGGAATATAAATCCTTCCATTCCTATCCTGTCAGAGCTGAAGAAGCTTCTTGAATGAGAAGGGAAACGTTTTCAAAGAAAAGTCCAGTTGCCTCTTGGAAAAAGAAGCACCGTTGGGACAACCACAGGAAGCCTCACCAGGTAAATTTACAGGTGCACCGTGGGTTTTTTTTTTCCTTTAAACCTTCCCTAAGTTCGTTTGGAAGATATGTGTCCGACATTGCATCCGTTTAATGTTTTAATTTTTGCAAAGGTGGAGGTTTTGTACTGGAGTTAATCACGGCTCCCCACCACCCCAAAGGTCCGGGGGCAAAGAAAAGCCACGTCGGACCCTCCCGGAAGCTTCGGCCGGGATATGCTTGGACAACCAACCAGCGTCCGCCTCATCAGGACTCCGGCCTGAGGGAGGAGCGGGATAGCAAAAGACCCGCCCGCGCGCCTTCTTCTTTCCCGGGAGAGAAGGCGACTCCTGGGAAAGGCGCGCTCCTCTCGGCTCACCTTGTCCAGCGCGGAGGCGAGCGGACGTGGAAGCGACGCGGCTCAAGCCGAGGGACAGCCGCTTCCCTCGGCGACCGCGACTTCCCTTCATTCAAAACAGGATAAGGGGAGCCTCCGTCCCAGCCGAAGCTCTTGGCTCCTCCATAGCTTTCCTCACCGGCCACTACCGGCTCCACCTTCCTGTCACCCTAGAGACGCCGCCCCGCCACCCGCGCCTGCAATCGCCTCTTCCGGTTCCGCCCCAACATTTTAAACCAATCGGAGCTTCGGCCTCAAGAGAAAGGAGTGGGGCCAGAAACCGGAAGGATGGGACGTTCCCTGCGCAAGCGCACAAAGCTGAAGCCCTGCGGGCCGACGGGAGGGAAAGATGAAAGAAGAAAAAGAGGGTGGAGCTTACGAGGCACAGGAGCTGCTTGACCTTCCCCTTCGGTTGGCAGCTTAGTAGAAATAGCTTAGCTGTGGGATTCGCGCTGAAAGTCGTGTTCCAGGCTGGGTAGTCTACGCCTTCGCTGGTCGGAATATATGCCTTAATGTTTTTTATTTAGGAGAGGAGGAAAACGGTAGAGCGAGGCGGACTTGTTAAAACTGGGGTGCTTTTACAGTGCTTTGCGAACCTGCGAGGTTTGGGAAAGTAACTTTTTTTCCTTGTTAGATTTGTTGTAATTGCAAACGGTTGATAAATGAGGCAGTCGTTAAACAAGACTAATTGTAACCATCTCCAAATCTTCAAGACATCGGTTTTATTTTTTATTTTATTTTTGTTTTGCAATGTCCAGCTTTCATATCTATAGATCACCAGCTGATTTTTGTTTCCTTATCTTTGTGATTGGCTCTTTAAACTTATCATTTGCCTCCCTAATATTAATATTCGGCGTATGATCCATCCTGGTCTACAACTTGAGCCTTCCAATATAAAGCTGTCAACTTATTTACCATCAAATATATAATCCACGCATGTAGTGTGTCCAAAAAAGACATGTCTTAAAACATAATGGGCTGGAAATAGGCATTTTTTAACAGTATGTTCAAAAGTATTTTTAAGAGAGAATGTAGTTGCCAAAGCATTTGGATTTTCAAAAAGGCGCTCCATCCATGAGGTTAAATTTCTAGCAAACAAAATGTGTCATTAATCAAGAAATCATATATTTCTTATGTCATAAATAGGAATCTGGAATTTAACCCCTTTTGCTGGCAAAAAAATGCTACCAAATGAAAACCAAGGGAATTTCTTCAAATCTTTAAAAAAATTGCAATGTTTCTAGAAATAAATATTAAGAATATAGTTACCAAAACATTAATTTCAGAGTATTCATCTGTTCCAAAACTATATTTTCTTTTACACAGATTCATTTTCTTCTTTAAAAAATACAAATTAAATGTATTGAGAAATACATTTTAAATAGAATTTTATGGAGTTTTTCATTTTTTACAGAATTGAGACCTGATTTCGATATATTTGCTTAGTAATATTCTAAGAACTGTCATTCAGAAATGGTTACCTCCATTTGATCTACCATAATTAGGCTGCAAACATCTGGGTGATCAGTAGATGGCAACAGGGAGAGGCAATCTGCTACCAGATTGTACATACCCATTTCACCTGTCTGCATATTTGCAATTTAAGTAATGCTAGCTTTGTTAAGGGACTGTTGTGATTAGCCAGCAGCAGGTGCAGACGGCTGAGGAGAACGAGGACTCAGATGAGGGGCCAGGGCCATTAGGGAGTGGACTGCTGCCTTCAGAGATTGTGGGGGCTGGCAGCAGTGATGAGGAGGTTCCCGAGGAACCTGTGCCAAGTGTGCGTGCGTGCAGGATTGCTTGTAGGAAAGAGCAGTTACAACAGCATGGGCAACTCAGGAGTAAGGCTGCAAGGTAATGGCCCCTCCCTCAAGAAGATAAAAGCCAGCTGTGAAACAAACATTCCTTGCAGACTGTTTTGAAACAGTCGCGTGGACATTACAATTGGTATCTGAAGACTTGTAAACTATTGTCTGTTATCTTTTGGCAAATCTTGCGCTATTTGGCAAGGCTTGTGCTTATCACAGCTAATTATTTTGTAAAAGCATCACAAAGTTTTGTTCCTTTTGGATTGTGTTTGATTTGTCAGAAAAGGGTGTGGTCAGAACGGGCATGCACACACCCATTTCAAGAATCTTTTATTTTTCAAGATAGTTTTAATTGTAACAAATATACCCCACTACACATTATGATACCACATAGTCTGGTTCTGGTTTACAATAGTAATATAGTCAATCCTCAATTTACTACCATAAAATTTCTGTTGCTAAGCAAGACAGTTGTTAAGTGAGCTTTTAAAGGTCCATTTTGTGACCTTTCTTGCTACGGTTGTTAAGGTAGTAAAATGGTTAAGTAAATCTGGCTTCCCCCTTGGCTTTGCTTGTCAGTTCACAAAAGGGGATCACATATTCCTGGAACACTGAAACTGTTATAAATACATGCCAATTGCTAAGCATCCTAATTTTAATCACATGCCTATGAGGATGCTGCAACAGTCATGTGAAAAACAGTTGTGTCGCTTTTTTCAGTGCCATCGTAACTTCGAATGGTCGGTCACTAAGTGAATGATTATAGGTCGAGGATTAACTGTACTAGACATGAAACGCAATCCTACTAGAAATAGGTTGAGTTTAGCTCAGATCTATTTGAGCCATTCAAGTTTAAAACTTTCAAAATAATGCTACTACTTGATTACAATCAAAATCATACATTATACTAATAAGTAAGAAATATACTTGATTTCAGAGTCTTGTATTTTCGAGATCCTGACAGTCTTGTAGCAACCAGAGTATTAGTACATGTGGCCCAAATTGCATTGCAGATTACATGAAAAATAAACATGACAAAATGTATAAACTGTTGTCATACAAAAGCTGGCCTTTTTATCTAAAATCAGCTGGCAAGTATGCAATGGCTGGATTTGCATGCTGTCACTGGTCATGCACCATTATTTGGCACCATTGTAATTTATTTTAATCTGTTTTCCCTCTGCTGCTAGGATGTTCTGCAATTCCCATCAAATATCTAGAATTTATTCTTATCCTTTCTGCTGGATTCATCTAGCGGGATGGCAGAGAAGCCATTTAACATCAAAGTATATGGACACAGTTCAGACCCATTAAGACACAATGGCAAAACATCTTTGATTTCATCATTTAAGCGCAGGTGGTTAGCATTGTTTTTTTTATTAAAACATTAAGTCAGTAAGTATATCGAAGTAAACTTGGAGTAAGTAAACGAAATATTTTTTTAAAAATAGTGAACTTGAACCCTGAAGCGTGAAAAATGTTTGTCCAGTTTTTCATGTGATTCACTGAACACAGCGTGTTAAAGCACGAAAAGATTCAAACGGACGGCTCAGAGACTGGCATGTTGAGCCAGAAATGTCCTTATTCTCTGTAGAAGTTCTTTCTTTACACTATCAGGTACCAAAGCTGAAAAAGAAAAAAGAAAAGAGCAAGATGAAATCATAGCCACACTGCAAATAATTTCAAATAAAGATAGCCGCTGACTTACAACTGGTTGCTCAGTGATCAAACATACAATGGACCTATCCAGAGCTAAGGTACTTATGACCAGGTTTTCAAGTTCCAACAGCCAGACCTGTTTCATGGTCACATGATCACATTTTGGTTGTTTTCCTGCATTTACAGCTTTTGGATTGCAACTTATTGTGTTTTCTGCTGGAAACTTATAATTTAAATTTCTGGTTTCCAGCAAAAAAAAAAAATGCCCATTGGGGTTACTTAACAACTGCGTCAGTCACGGCAAAAAAGGTGTAAAATTGGGCACAGTCACAATTACTACCAACCTGCCTTCAATCGAGGACCTGTATACTGCACAAGTCAAAAAGAGGGCTGTGAAAATATTTACAGACCCCTCACATCCCAGACATAAATTGTTTTAACTCCTTCCCTCAAAACGATGCTATAGAGCACTGCACAGCAGAACTCGACACAAGAACATTTTTTTCACGAAGGCCGTTACTCTGCTAAACAAATAATTCCCTCAACGCTGTTCAACTATTACAAAGTCTGCACTACTGTTACTGTTAATATTCTTATCACTCCTTATCACCTATCCCCTCTCACTTGTGACTGTATGACTTTGTCGCTTGTATCCTTACGATGTATATTGACTGTTTCCTAATATGATTTGATTGCTTATTGTACCCTATGACTATGATTAAGTGTTGTACCTTATGATTCTTGACTCTTGACAAATGTATCTTTTCTTTTATGTATACTGAGAGCATTTGCACCAAAATAAATTCCTTGAGTGTCCAATCACACTTGGCCAATAAAGAATTCTACTCTACTCTACTCTGCTCTGCTCTGCTCTGCTCTGCTCTACTCTACTCTGGTGATCTGCTTAACAACTGACATGACTTACTGCTATAATTCCAAACTTAATTACAGTCATAAGTTGAGAACTGTTTATACAGTGTTACACTATCTTTTGTGCATTTCTATGTGTATAATCATGGATGCAGGTACGTTTGTCATGTGGCACCACCTGACAAATGTTGGTAATCTAGAAAACTAAGTATGATTGACCATGGGCAGGACCTGAATGGGAAATCCAAAATTCTTACAAAAAGCATGGAATGGCAACATTCGAATCAGACCAACATATGTCCGTGTGAGTCACCAAATCAAGGTTAGCCCAAAACGTTGCTTGAAACAAACTTGGGAACAATCTTGATAGAGCAGCAGACTGAAAACAAATTGTGTGCAGTGAAGACACATGAAAAATGCATTTGGAAAAATAAAGCAAAAGGCGCAAGTATAGGGCATGGGATGCCTTGCTTGGGAATAGTGCCTTGGGATCTTCTGTAGAGATTCTCAGTCACCCAGGCTATGGTTGTCCCAAAGGTGGTTTTTCAGGAGGCAACTGAACTTTGTTTTTTCTTTGGAAGATATGTTGCTTCTCATCCAAAAAGCTTATTCAGCTCTGATAGGATAGTCATTCCCTTCCCTTCCTCACTATCCTATCAGAGCTGAAGAAGCTTCTTGGATGAGAAGCAAAATGTATTCAAAAGAAAAAATAAAAGTCCAGTTGCTTCCTGAAAAAGCACCTTTGGGACAGTGCCTAGGGATTGAAATCAATCAAAACGTGCATCAGCAGTATGCTGCAACTGCTCAAAAAGCAAATCCAGTGCACCTGAAAAGGCCAGTTTGTATATCATGGAAATGAACTGTTGAATTCTATTCTGCACTCTGTTGCAACACAGACTTGAAAGGGAAAAAGTCAATCAAAGCAATTGATTGTCCCACAGATGCATGACATAGATTTGCACAAGGTCTCAAAGCGATTTAAGAAGGTACCAAAGAATCAGAAGTGGTATTCAGCCAGTTCTGACAGGTTCTGGAGAACCTGTAGCAGAAATTACCACCTCTGGTTGGCCCCGCCCCCATCTATTCGCTGCCTCCCGAGTCCCAGCTTATTGGAGTCTCAGCTGATCAGCTGGGTCTTCTTTTGTTGCCCTGCACAGGAGAACAGAGCTGGAAAGCAGGTTAGTGGGGTGGGGAAGGGATGTGGATTTTACAGTATCCTTCCCCTGGAATGGAGTGGAAATGGAGATTTTGCAGTTATAGTCTTCCCCTACCATGCCCACCAAGCCACACCACACCCACCAAGCCATACCATGCCTACCAAAACCACAGAACTGATAGTAAAAAAAATTGAATACCACTACTGCAAAGAACGTTCCCAATTCCTTTGATTCACTTTGACATTTTCAACTTCGTTGCACATCCTGGTGTCATAAGAAAAGTCGTAAAATTGGCCAGTTAACAACCACCTCACTTAGCAGCAGAAATTCTGGTCCCAATTAATGTTGAAAGCCAAGGACTCCCTGCAATTGTCCTACATTATTGGAAACCACATTCTGACTGATAGTAAAAACTTCCTGACTAAGCTAGATCAGCGGCTCCCAACCTTTTGGGCACCAGGGATCAGTTCCATTGACAGATTTTTTTTCCATGGGCCGGAGGGGGCATAGTTTCACATGCTTCCTCCATCCCATGGATGGAGCTTCACTTGTTTGTGTGGCCTGGTTGCTGGCATACCACGGACTGGTGCCAGTCCAAGACCGGAGGTGAGGGACTCCTGTGATAGATGATAGGCTTATCTTTGTTGGATATATTTCTACAGAGGCAGGCATTTGTCCTAGATGCTTTCATTTGGAATCCTGCATTGATCATCTCTATGTAACTCGTCAACTCTACAATTCTGTGATGATTATTTGCAGCAAGATCTCAGGGCTTTCACAAATGTTACACTGAGACTGTAAACAGCATCTTCGAATATGACAAGGCAGGGCAGAGGAGCATTGCTAAGCGACTTAGAATGCTCATTATTTAAACAGACTGAAGATCTCAACAATTTCAGCTCTTTCAATTAATATTAATATCCCTACAAGTAAGACTGCACTGGTTCTCTTGAAATTATTGTAAGTTTTAGTCTTAGTTTTGTTGTTACCCGCAATGGCTAATCACATCTCAAAGACTAAGGCATTTTCATAGCAAGTCAACATATGAGAATATTTTAATGTAGAGATCAAGGAAACAAAGGTCAGCCCTTTTGACTGGGTAAACCAGTATTTCTCAACCTCAGCAACTTAATAGGTGTGGGCTTCAATTCCCAGGATGCATTGCATGCCGGTTGAAGAATTCTGGGAGTTGAAGTCCATACACTGACATTTCTGAGATTGAAAAACAGTGGAATAAACACGAATAAAATGCAAATGTAAATTCCAGGACATCATTGGAGGATACATGAATCAGCCATCTTCTTAAAGTTTTAAGTCTGCTCAGCGCCTAGAAATAATTTATTCCAACTCAGTGTACACTTTATGCTCAAGTACCAAAACAATAAAACATTATTACCTCTGCCTTTTGGAGTAATTTCAGCCACCAAATCATCAACAGTAACATGTTCTAGCCCTTTCTCTTTGATGACATCTAAGCAAGATAAAGACAAGCAGATAGGTGTTAAAGTCAGATAAGGGGTTTGTTTTAGTTACACAAACGCACATATTTTTGCACATTAAACTCAATAATAAAAAAACAAACCCTATTTATACATTAAACACTAATTATTTGTATGCTGCCTTTTTATTTTTTACAAACAACCCTGTGAGGTGGTCTGAGCTAAGAGAGTGACCTGTTCAAAGTCACCCATCTAGTTTTCATGGCTATGGTGGAACTTGAACTCATGATCGACTTTCTAGCCTGGTGCCTTAACCACTAAACCAATTAGCTCTATTTTAAAATAGAGTGTTTTAAAAATAAATAAGCATGGATTATGGCTGAACCATACTTGCATATTCTATAATCCAACCACATCTACTCACTCCTCCACTCCCTCATTTAGTCCCATGCAACCCAACCTATTTTGAGTAGTTCTTGAATAGCAATGTATGCAACACATGACAAAAAAAACCCTCTTGAAATCCAGATTAGAGTGCTTTCATGTTTGACTTCCTTCATTGTTGAATTGCACAACTCAATTAAAGTAGTGCTACATTATTTAAAAGTAATGCAGCAACCTATACCTGAGATCATTCACTTGCATCCTTGTTTAGAAGAATCTATCTTGGTCCATAACTAGACATCACTGCGACCTAGATGACATTGCTATTTTATTTCAATTTTCCCTTTCAAACTAATCGGAATAAAGAAAAATAATTTAAAACACAGAGAGCCAGTTTGGTGCAGTGGTTAAGCATCAAACTAATAATCCCTAAGTAATACTTAGGCAGAAAGCCAGTTGGGCGACCTTGGGCCAGACACTCCCTCTCAGCTCTAGGAAGAAGGTAATGGCAAATCGCTTCTGAAAAATCTTGCCTGAAGGGACTTGCCCAATGTGTACATCTGTGTGTGTGAATGTATATGTATACATGTATATACATATACATATACATATATATATATATATATATATATATGTGAATATATGTGAATATATGTGTGGGTAAGTATATATGTGCAAATCAAAGAGAGAAGCAATCTGGAATTAAACAGAAACTTCCTAACAGAAAGGATAATTAGCCAGGGGAACAGCTTTCCTTCAGAAATCGTGAGCGCTCCATCACTGGAGGTTTTTGAGACTGGTCAGTTACTTGTCTGAGATTGTATAGGTTCTCCTGCTTGAGCAGGGGGATGGACTAGAAGATCTCCGAGGTCCCTTCCATCTCTATTCTATTCCTATTCTGTTCTATTCACATAATTACAGGGCCCAGATGAGGTTCATAATCTTTATGGATGGAAATCATTCTGACTGCAATTTCCATTCATCCTTTTGTGTATTTTTTGTCGGGAAAGAAAATAGAATTAGGCTAGATTGGAGGTGAAGAAAAGAGTGTAGATAAAACAGCCTATTTTGCAGGCTAACAGGAAAGGGAACTTACTTTCGGAACAACCAATTATATTTCATGCTAGCTTTACAGTTAGCATATTCTACAAATATACCTAATATTTTTCATTAATCTCAGAACATGTTAAAAATATGATTGAGAGACAGTTTGGTCTAATGGTTAAGGCACAAGGCTAGATAGTAGGAGATCATGAGTTCACATCCCACCTTTGCCTGAAAGCCAGCTGGGTGACTTAAACCAGTCTCCCTCTTTCTCTCTCAACTCAACCCACCTCACAGGGTTATTGTTTGGGGAAAATAGAAGGAGGAGGATGTGCTGAATATGTTCACTGCCTTGAGGTATTCGTAAAAATAATAAATATTGAAAAAAAGGCAAAGTAGAAGAAAGAGAGATATTAACAAATTCCTTAGGCAGGCCAAACATACAGTAGGAATAATGTATTAGTGTGACATTGCAATTTGTGTTTCCTTTTTAAAAATATTGTCTATATGCAATTGAAAATGCAACATGAAAACATACATATTACATGAATATTAGACTGTGACCATGGTACCAACATATGACAATTAATGAAGTGAGAGTTACACTCTATTCCCAAGTGACAATTACCTTTGCAGTGTGCCTTTAGCTGATCTTTCCAACCACATTCAATTAATTTGGCTCTCAGTAATTCTTTAAGGCTGTAAAAACAACAGTGTTAGAAATACGGTATATCCATACTGGGTAGTAAGAAAACATTAAACAATGTGGTCAACCAGCGAGCAATACAGTTCTACAACTAGAGTAGAAAATAAAACCCACATACCGTTCTCGTTCTCCTGTTTCAATTAACTTTTGATTAATAGTTGCTCTCATTTGTGCATCTTTGTTCATTTTTCCCTCCTGCGTGCAAGTAGACCAGATCTACTGAAAAGCAGAGATTTCAATGGTGTAAACTATTTCAAGGATAATCTCTGGCTTCCATAAACTCTTGGTACAGCTCCTCAACCTGCAGACCCACAACTGAAATAAGGATATCAATATTGTGACTTGTGTATAATGTTAGCTTGTTGTGTTGCCAATTTGGATCTGGTTTCCCAGAAACCTGCAAGGTTTGTATTTCGATGGCATGCACACAACATGCATCACCTACTCCGCTAAAAAAACCAGTCCCTATTTTTCCCCATTACATTAAGAGGGGTTTAATTCAACGACCGTTGTACAAATGCATTTTCTTAAGTGTTGAGTGGATCAAGCACCCAAACAATTGAGATTACTGAATAATATGGGGATCCCCTCCTATCTGAAAAACCACCCATTTTGAGTCCTCCATGCTTTTGTGAGTTGCACGCCCATCAGTTTCATCACATAATAATATAATGACGATGATGCTCAAACTATACCATTGAAAAAAGCGCCGCAATCATTAAAAAGTCAGATCTAATCGCGGTTTCCGTTTTAAGGAAGGGATACTGGAAGGGATGAAAAAAGGGGGATGGTAATATCAACCAAATTCGAAAAAGGATCAACATCCACACGAGCACAAAAGCCTCTGCCCGCCCCACCCCCGCCCCCCGCCCTCAAACAAACGGGTTACCTTTCCGGCGAGCCACTTGCTTCCTCCACGAGCTCAGCCTCCGAGGAGAGCCGGTTCAACGGAGCCTCGAACTCGCCACACGACCAACTCTCCCCGGCTTGCCCAAGACTTCACCTAACTAAAGAGAAAGAAGCCTTTGCAACAGCCTACCTCAATCGTCGCAAAGGTTTGGGAAGCGTAGTTCTCACCCACATGGCTTTAACGGCTCGATGCCCGATGAAAACTACAACTCCCAGAAGGACGTTGTCTCTCAGCCGTTCCCATGACACCTTCACGCCTCCTTCACATAAAAACTACTTTTCCCACAATGCTCTTCTGTACTGCACTTTTTTTTTTTTTTGGATCGCTGGATTGATTTACCTTGATGCCTCAGTCGTTCCTTCTGACTTTTAAACTAGAGATTTAACCCAATGGAAGTGGGGGCGTATTCCCATTGCCTGCTTTATTTGGGATTTACTTTTAAAAAAAAACAGAATCCTGGTTTAGTTATATTGAAAAGTAAACAGAATTCAAGGCAGGATCGTGTTAGTTTTTGCGGTGGGAGCCAATAGGAAATCCTGGGACTTATAGACCACATTATGAACATGGGCAAAAAATTCCAGAGAAAAAATAATAAACAATTTCTGCACAATTTTAAAAGAAAACACATGATTGTTCCAACAGGAATTGACCTTTATTTTTTTATTTAAAATGAATGGAAAGTAAAGTTCAGTCACTCATGTTTCCAGGTAGTTCTCATGGAAAACATGAAAGTAAATGGTACACCGGGAAGTAAACAGTGACTTTAAAATATAGGTGTCTCTTTGAGAGAGAGAAAACCCTTCAGAATGATCCCAATATATAAAATTCAGAAATAGGACCCTTTCAATTCAATGAAGTTTATTCCCAATAAACTTGCAATCTGATTTACATTTTATTGGGAAGTGAAATCATTTTATAAAATGGGTAACCAGATTCAAGACAAGATACATATCAGGATAACAGAGATGGAAGGTACCTTGGAAGGTATTCTAGTCAACCCCCCTGCTCAGACAGGAAACCCGATTCACTGCACTGGAAACAACATATATCTGGAAATTCCATCTGTTACTCTTAGCAGTATCATGATGAATTGCGACCTTTTTTTGCCTTTGCAGAGCCAGGGTGGCCATGGTCTGCATGTGATGCATCTGGCCTGCAGGCTGCCAGTTTGACAGGCCTAATTAATTTTAATTTAATTTTAGTCTAAACATAAAAATAAATCCTAAAAGTTAGGTTGACTGAGAAGGAAAGCTGACCCACTGCACTAACCATAATGTGATTGGCTTGATCTTGGCTTAGCATGGTGTGTGGATGCAGATTATTCTGTTCATAGACCATAGTTTTAGGGCATAGCATGTTATCCATGTTAACTGCGAAGTCGTGTCTGACCCATCGCAACCCCATGGACAACATTCTTCCAGGCCTTCCTGTCCTCTACCATCTTCTGGACTTAAATGGACTCCAGAAGATGGTAGCATAACTTATCATAACCAAGACATCAAAATTTCATAAACCCTAATGATTGAGCTCCCTTAATATGCTAAACCAAAGTCAAGAAACCATCTGTCTGCTTGTCTGTCTGTCAGATTTTTACCCTGTCTTTATTTCTTTAAATGGCTTAGAGCAATATTTCTCCAATTTAGCAACTTTTAAGAAGTCTAAACTTTAGTTCCCTAGCCAACATGACTACCTGGGGAATTCTGGAACTTGAAGTCTAGAATTTTCAGTAGTCAAAGTTGAGAAACACTGATATAGATTAAGAAATAACCCAAATATCTAAAGCATTTTCCCATAGTTCTGTCCACTACATCCAATCAAGTCTATAGAGATTCTCAGTCATCCAGGTCTTTGGTTGTCCCAAAGATGCTTTTTCAGGAGGCAACTGGACTTGTTTTTTTCTTTGAAGAAATGTTGCTTCTCATCCAAGAAGCTTCTTTAGCTCTTGACAGGATAGTGGGGAATGGAAGGATTTTCCTTGGAGACAGCTGGTCATTTGCATCCTCTTAGAGCAAGGGTCTTCAAACTTGGCAAGTGTAAGACTGGTGGACTTCAATTCCCAGAATTCCTGAGCTAAAAATTACTGGAGAAGGAATTCTGGGAATTGAAGTCCACCAGTCTTAAAGCTGTCAAGTTTGAAGATCCCTGTTTTAGAGGGTCGTTGAAGCACTTGGAGGTTTATCTGTGTCCTCAGGATCACCTGAGTAGTTCAGGTAGTGTGCATTTTTTTCCCCTCTGGAAATCCATTCCTACTCCCAAACCATTCAAAGGGTGTTCATCCCAATCAAATATAAAAAAAGGAGTAACCTTCACGAGCTCAACAGCGTTGCTTTGTACCGGATTGATCATTAGGCTGATGGGGATCCTTAGCGCGCGCACACACACCAAACTGCAGTGTCCCGTCACGAAGCGCACAGAAGCGTTAGAAAGGCTGTCTCCGGCGACTACGATTCCCAACAGGCTCTGCACTCCTTTCCTACCCAGAATCCTTCGCGGGGGGCAGGCCCTACTGCCGCGGCCTGAGCGCTGAGGCGACCGAAAAGGCTTGGAAGGCCGCTTCTAAGGGAGCCTTTCGTCCTCGGCGGCGACGGTTGAGGCAGAGACCTGCGGCATGGAAACGGCGGCGAACTGTTCGTTGCGCATCAAGCGGCTGCTGCTCGACCCCAGGTTCGAGGGATACAAGCTTTCGTTGGAGCCGCTGGCCTGCTACCAAGTGGGGCTGGACTCGCGTGAGTGTCGGCGTGGCTTCCCTTTTGGGCGATCGGGTTTGGGGCTACGGGGAAGCCCAGGCTGCTTTGACTCGATTTCCCGGAATTGAGGCCTTGCGGGGAATGGGATAGAATAGAGCTGGAAGGGACCTTGGAGGTCTTCTAGTCTAGCCTCTTGCGAGGCTGGCTGGACAGGGGCAGAGTTTCCCAGGAAAACAGCTGGGCGGATGTAGGCAAGCAAAACGGAGCAGGAAAAGCCGAGGAGATTTCCAGGCTTAAGAAAATAATTTTTTTTCCAAAAAAATGTGTTTTGCTCTTGAGGTTTTAAATACCGTTTTCTTTTCACCGTCTGCCGAGGAAAGAACAACATCTCGGTGAGAGCTGCCGGATCCCGAAGCAAATTGGATGACGTTTAGTTTCAGCACCGGCTCTTGTTTTGTTATCTGTTTAGTTGATTTATTTTCTAGTGATTTATTGATTGATTAAATTTATATGACTGCCATCTCTCTGTCAAGCAACTGTTGGCTATTAGTTTCCCATTCCTTTGAGCCAAATTTGATTTCTGATGGCTTCCTGGAGATGGCTTTCATTCATTCAATATGCTTCCCATCTCACAAGTGTCAAGCAACTATGACTATTATATTCCTTTGAGCCAAATTTGACTTCTGGTGGCTTCATGGAGTTGCATCTATTTATTTCCCATTTACTTTTTTAGTTCTTTATTTTTACAAATAATTCAAGGCTGTGAACATATCCAACACACCTTTCTCCTCTTAATTTCCACACAACTCTATAAGAGGAGTTGGGCTGAAAGAAAATGACCAGTCCAAGAACACCCAGCTGGCTTTCATGGTCTCCTAGTTTCTATCCTGGGGCCTTAACCACAAAACCAAATGGGCTCTGTAATTTTCTTGGCATCCTTAAAAAATGGCTGGGGTATTTTTTTTTTTACTTCCCAAACTCTCCTGCAGCTCTCAGATTTCCTGTTGGTCTCCCATCCAATTTGGACTCTGCTTAGATCAGAGTTCCCCAGAGAAAATAAATAGGGACTCCAAAGATAGATGAGAGTCACGAGACTATCCAAAAGAGCAAAATTGTTCTTTATAGAGGAACAATAGAAATTGTTATTTATTAAGGATGAAGTATTTATTAATTTCAGATAATGTTTCAGATGAATAATCTGAAAATTCCTGAGTGGATTGATGAGCTGAAATGTTTGGGGTCCCCAGTTTAGATTTTCAAGATTAGGCAAGATCATTTCAGTACCTTACATAAAAATAAATAATCATTTTTACCTTATCAGCAGTAGGTATAGACATTTAAAATATAGTTAAAACACAATATAAATACAATATAGAATAAAGCCATCTAAAATACATTATATAATAAAACAGCATGAAAATATAGGTGTACACATGTATATAAATTTCTGTACTTAATTGTTCAATACATATACAGATACTTTGGTTTCAAATTTATAGTTTGGTTGTATATTTTGAATAGTTTCAAAGAAATATTTTTTCAATATGTCTGTAAATTTAATCTTCATTAAAGGTAGATTTTAGTGTACATTTTCTCTACTTGAAAGAAAGATCTTAAGTTAAAGAGAATAAGTCAATCGAATTATATTAGGAACTTGATCTGATATTTTATTGTGATAATTGTATTTATAAACTAAGATTTGATGGTTATTTAAGGTGATTTAAGCAAAGGTTAATCTAAGATAATGTTACTGTATAGTAATACTGTAGAATTAAGAATGATTGTGAGACAAAAGCTCATATACAGTGTAACTGCTGTAATATTTACCAAGGCTGTACCTTGGAACCTGTTCAAATCTTGGAGGAAACCTCATTTTAGAGCGCAGGAACTCTATAAAGAACATGCAAATATCCAGAAACATGATATTTAATTGGAAGATCCTGGAGCCTATCAACCTTGCCAGATAGGATCAGCTGGACAAATACCGTGGGAAATCCCCAAGATGTAATGGCAAACTAGTTGAACATGGGAGAATAATAATGCTTTTAATACACTGATCAAAAAATAAAGGGAACACAAAAATAAGACATCCTAGATCTGAATGAATGAAATATTCTTATTAAATACTTGGTTCGAATGTGCTGACAACAAAATCACACAAAAATTAGCAATGGAAATCAAATTTAGCAACCCATGGAGGTCTGGATTTGGAGTTACACTCAAAATTAAAGTGAAAAAAAAAACCACTACAGGCTGATCCAACTTGGATGTAATGTCCTTAGAACAATTCAAAATGAGGCTCAGTAGTGTGTGTGGCCTCCACATGCCTGTATGACCTCCCTACAATGCCTGGGCACGCTCCTGATGAGGTGGTGGATAGTCTCCTGAGGGATCTCCTCCCACACCTGGATTAAAGCATCCCCCAACTCCTGGACAGTCTGGTGCAATGTGGTGTTGGTG